AAATACTTGCATTAAATAATAATCTTTTAGTTGTAACAAAGAATCGAAATTTATTTTTATCATCATCATCATTACTAACATTATCATCATCGTTGTCATTATTAATTTCATCTTCATATTCAATCTGATATTTTAATACCCAAGGCTTATCATCATCGTCAGGTATAAATGAATTTTGTTGACACCAAGCTTCGAGTTCACCTAAGCTAATAGTTGAAGTACCGTAACATTTTTCTCTTAATGATGTTAAATAATTCGATAATTGTTGTTTTTTCGGAACAGGTAAACCTTTCTCTTCTAATAATTCTAGCATGTGTTTTGGCTTGATTTTCATTTTGAATAACTCGCATATTACTTCTTTTGATTGTTGGTTTATGCCAATAGATCTTGATTCTTGATGTAAATGATCATCTTCTGTTTTGTACATTGTAATACATTCATTTTCACTATGATATAAAAGATGAATACCAGCTGGACATTGTTTTCCACGCCATTTGACTCAATTACATCTATAATAAACCCGTTTTCCTTCGCTTGTGATATTGGTATGTGTTTTGCTCCATATACCATCATTCTTGATTTTATTAATAATATCATCTTTATCATTATATGTACATAATGGTATCCATTTTCGCCTGTTTTGCTTTTTTCTTTTAACTGTTTCTGTGTTGCCAGAAGGTTGAATTTCCATATCAATGTCATTTTCAGAATCAGAAATATAGTGTGCTACACTTTGCGATTGAGCCATGTGTATAAATTACATAGTATTTCATAAAGTTGAGAAAACATTTATTATTGTAGACAAATGAATTATTATCGCCCTTTTTATGTACATTTATGTTTTACTTAAATTAATTATTGATCATTCCATCTAATTATTCATCATTCATTATATTTATTGCTCATTCATTATACATATTGCTCATTCAATATATATATTGCTCATTCAATATATTTATTGCTGATTCAATATATTTATTGCTAAATTTGATTATTGCTCATTTCAATTTTTTTATTGCTGTATTAAATATAAGTCATCAAGTAAAGTGTTTTTCTGCATTACAAGGATTTTTTGTTTCTATTCTTTTTACTTAAACTAACTTTTTGAGTTATGCCTTTTCGATATCAAAAATATTTCTTTTAAATTAATTATTTAGACTAAAACCATTCTGTATGATTCTTTTCTTTTTGTTCTAGACTACTATTGTATTGAACATCTATCGTAAAGTTTTGAAATTTAATTTTTCATTTGGACATTTATGAAAAAATTTAATGAAAAACTCAATGTCATCGAAATTTAAAATTTAATATTTTCGAAGACGTTATAGCTGATTTACGAGCTACTTATTCTGAAAATGAATGTACTTCGATATGATCATTACGTATTAACGAAATATTTTTTGGTAAAATAATTTTTAATTTATCTTTCCATGGAATTCGTTTTTATTAAAGGACGGGTGCGTATAAGCTATAGAAAATGGGCTACTAGGGGTTTATTGATATTTGATTGGCAATTTCTTTTATAAAGGTAAGGCTCATTTTATTAAAGTATATCCAAGTAAGAATATGCATGTTGAGCCCTTTTTTCAAGCGAAAATGTTGTAAAATATCATATAGGTCATTTTCAGTCTTTTTTGCGTCTTTGATGTGAGTTAAGTGTAATCATAGTAATTCAATATTCGATCAAAATAGACAAGCTATTGAAAACATTGAAAGCTCAATTTATCTTCATTAGAAAGAGCATTTAATTCTGCATCGTTTCATATAAAAACTATTATTGTTTTATGAGCTATCGATGCCATCAATAATACCACTCTTCTATTGGGTATCCTATTGAATATGATTTTATTGCATACTATCTAACATGATTTCGATCTGTTTGAATTTTTTTTCCATGCGAGCCGATTTCGTTTATATACCATTCGATACAGCGAAGCAAGGGCTACAAACTGGTATATAATTCATTTAGTTTCGAGTTGGTTTCAATATTAAAAATACTCAAAAACTATTTCTGATATACAAAAAATCCACTATTTTCAGCAGTGTCCAAGGATTGAGAAATAGGAATTCCTAATTAGTAGAGGAATTGCCAGTGTAGCTATGATAATTCCTTGGGGAAATGAGAATTGACCATTATTTCCATCACAGTTCCCTCATTCATGAAAGTCAAGATAATGCTTTTTTTTGCAATAATTTTCGTACTCATACGTTCATGTGCACAAATTTCTTGATGAAAACGAATGTAAGAGTAATAAGTACGTGGATATTGTATTTTTTTAATTTTAGCATTCAAGGAAATGTCAGGGAACTGAGTAGGAATTCCTATTCCTCAGTCCTTGGACACCGCTCGATCCCGAATGTCCCGTCTCGAAAACTTTTCAGGACAATCCCAATTGTCTCGCGGGACGGGAAAAATGAGGTTTTTCGGAATTCTGGACTGTTCCGCAGGTCTTTAGTATCAATACTTGTTGTGTACCTATCACCACCAACGTTGAGTTTGACCTTTTGTAAAGCGATGGTTTTTGCCAATTTAGTCTTGACATCTTTCTATTCTTTTTCTTCATTTGATGTATTAACGTATGTTTTTTTTCTAGGGTGTTATTTATTTCGGAAAATTTTTCGGTTTCTGCAATGCGTTTATTGCATTCCTTCAGTTTGGAACAAGTTCACTGTGTATTTTGTCAAACGGAATTTTCAGTTTACTACAATTCTCACGAAAAGCATTGTTTATCTTCCACTTCCATTTTAACAACAAGTCGATAGATACTTCACCTAAAATGTACTTCTTATGTTTCTATTTATTACTAAGAGTTACAGAAAAAGATATTTATGTTCTTATCTTTTCCCTTCGTCAACATGACTTAAATACAAATCGTTCACATCATCAAACAATAAACCGAAGGAGAAATCCAATGATACTGAATAAGAATTTAGTCCAATACTTATATATTTTGGAAAATTATCTGAATGAGTAAATGAAGCGACACGATCGATAATATGTAGGAAATGTAATCTATAATAGTAGAGTCTATTACCTTATGCTGAGATCAATGATGATTATGAATATTCGATAGAGAATTTCAAGATTTATTGAAAGCACTATTTCGATTTGAGTTAGCTATGAATGTTCAATGAAAAAGTTGAAAAATAAAAGTCTCTTAAACTATTTGAGTCCATTTTAAATGATAAATTATCTAATATATATGATAATGATTAATTTTAATTTCGTTTCATGCCATAAAACACTGTCAAATATAATTTATATGTTGATAAATAAACAAAGAAAAATAATTATTCTTTACTATCGAAAATATACCGGATGTGACATTTGAGAAAAATGATTTTATTTTTAAGAGCAAAAGAGAAATAATAATAATAATATGTTTTAAAAGCTAGAATAAAGTAGAACTAGATTGATCTATAATCAGTTCACCATCATGTTTTTTTCACTGAATAAACTCTTTGAAGGAAATGCAAAAATTACTTCTCGTTGATAAACGATATCAATTTGTTGACATCAAACCATTGATTGTTTTAACTTAATGATACTTGACATGGTTTGAGATGCTATTTTAGATAGAATAATCTCATGGATTAAGTTCTAGAGAATTTAAAGTTCTTTTTTCACCATTCTTGAGCTTTTTTATTGATATGAGATTTTGAAAAAAACATATGGAGATGTAAGAGTATGCCAGGATGCACACTGGATATTTTTCGATTTCATATAGTTCATCGCCATCAGATCGGTTATCAGCCGAAACAACGTCGTTTTTTGGATTAAAGTGACCGTTTTTTTTTTGTCATCAATGAAGATGATTCTTTTCAATGAATGACAGTTGATATTCTTTCTAATCCATTGACAATATATTTTTCTTATTGGTCTTTGGTCTTCTTTTAACTTTTCAACGTTTATTTTTGGATAAGATTTTTTTGCCTAAATCATCATTGAACACTCTGCTTGACGGTTCAAATAGTAGTTTTGAAGTTTTTAGACATTCTTCGTCAAATTTTTCGAAGAATGTTGGGACGTAGCCATTGATCACTTGTACTTCGGTGAACTTATTTTTCAATTTCTGGATCTTTTTTCCCATTTTCATAGTGGAAAACAATTAAAAAAAACGAAGATAATCTATACTCATTTGTAGAAAGAAGTAGCGCATAGGAGTGAGCCCTTGAAAAGTTTAACTAGTCTCAACAAGGCCTACTTTAGGAGCACAATATTAGTTCGATTGCCGAGTGATAGTTTGGAAGATTTCATCATCAGATATTATTCTGTGTAATGAAGCAGTGAGTCGATCACTCTCATTCCAAAAAGAAGTTTTCGGTTTATTTCTAGCAAGAATAATTTAATAATGAAGTGATACTACTATCTTATAAGTAGGTTTTGGAATTATAATCGTTCCTCATCATAAAAATTTCAAATCCACCACTAAGAATTTAATGTGATAAACTAAAATAGAGAAAATAATATGTTAGTAATGATATATTGTTTGATTGAATGTAAGATAAATTGAAATGTAGAAGATGATTAGAATGATAATATTCTTAAATAAATAATATATTTAAAGATAAAAATCTTGTTTAATAATATAAGAATTAATTTATTATTATATATCGAATAGTTTTATTTGATAATGATAATCAATATAGTTTGTTTCTATATGAATAAACTTCTTAATAATTAGATCTTTTATCGATGTGTGAAAACATTTTTTTGCAAAAAAAGAAAAAAATCGAAATATTTTTCTTTTCTATTAAAACAAAAGAAGATTGATATGCAATTGACACACAATGAATAGGAACACACAGAGAAAAATATGCGTCGACCGGTAGATACAATATTGAGACAAAAAAGAAAAAGAAAAGGATTAAGTTTTTATATAAATAATTGTAGACGTTAGATTTATTGTTTTAAATAAAGATTAATATATCTAAGATAAATCATTGTCTCTCAGGTGAATTTGATTTTGGACGGAATTATTTATTTATTTTAATAAATTTCAATGATGATTAATAAAAGGTCGACGTTGTTTTGATTGAATTTGTAATAATGATATTGAAAATGATTGATTTCTATTTGATTTATTATTTTCATCTTGATTATTTATTAATGATTTTATTTTTATTTTTCGATTACGTCTAGGAACTGTATTTGAACGATGATGATTAACATATCTTCTTCGTCTATTTTCATTTTCACCCCTTTTTTCTGTATTTAATGATAAATTTTCTTCATTCTTATTTAAAAGAATTTTTTCATCAAATTTTGATTTTAGAATATCTGATTTTGAACTTATCACTGATAATAATGAACAATTATCCACTTGTTCAGTTGGTTTACCTTAGAAAAACAAAAAATAGTAAACATCAATATTAATTATAGATACAATAACATTGATAAACAAACTATCTCAATTTTGTATAGTCAAATTTTTTCTAAAATATTATCAATGTGAAATAAAACAATGTAAACAGATATTGAATTCAAATTTTAAAAAAACTAAACAGTAGAAAACATTATTATGATTTCAGATAAGAGTTATAATGATAAACTATTTCGAATCATCAGTTTATTTCATTTTAGAAACGATACTTTAAATTAACTTGCTCATAGACTCATCAAAATCAATCGAATAGTTAAATATTATCAAAAATCATATTCTGATTCCTTATATAGAAAACTATTCTAATCCTTCCATTCGAATCTATTACAAAGCAAAAAAGTCAACTCGAAACTACAACCTCATCTATTGTGTCTATCGCCATGGAAATTATTGATAATCTCACTGCTTGTCAATAACTCTGTTAGCGAACTGACATATACATACAGAGAGAGACATGTGACCGCTAACGCACAAGGCTCATTCGCCTAAGCAGAGGTGAACTATGAGGACCTGAGATGCGCTAATCGCTGGACTTTTGACGTCATGTCTGCAAAAATTTCAATCTATTGTTTGAAAAGGTATTTTTTCTTAGTCACTTTCACTCAGATACACTACCTTTTACTGTCTTACAAATTTATAGATCGTTTCCATAGATGGAATCGGTATCGGTCCGAATTCCTTAGACCGGACAGATCGGTATACCGGTAATAAACGAGATACTAGTGATACTATTAGTCCATCATTCAATGCCGGTCTACCGACAATGTACCGTTCTACAGGGGACAGACCGAGTCTTAAAATGAAATCTCGCTCCATAGTCAACTGTTTTGAGTTACTTAGGACATAGCAAAAGTTCTGGCCACGGCGTTCAAAGGCTCTTTTCGGATGAGGTAATCTATTGAAGAATAAAAAAGTTTTTGGAGGTGCGTTGAATAGTATATAGGAAGTCCTGTTTTCATAAGACTTTAAACGAACTAGACTCAATTTACTGATAGACAAGTACACATACATAGCCAAACATGATCATTTTCTGAATATTGTGCCCGTTAGTATCAGTCGAAAATATTTTTTCCTCCTATAAGATTTTGTAGAGTTTTTGACGGACTACAACCTCCTATATGTATCATCTCTGGTCATCTTATCAGTGTGGATATATGATAGTCTATCAGTAAATTGACTCAAGTTCCTTTAGAGCCCTATGAAAACAAGATTTCCTATATACGATTCGATGCGCCTTAAAAAACTCTACAACATCGGATATTTGCTTTTTCATTTCTCAATAGGTAATCTTATCCGAAAAGATCCTTTAAACGTCATAGCCAGAACTTTTGCTATACCATAAGTAAATTAGTAACTTGCTGCATACTGGCATAATGCCTCACTATTGACCAGAATAATTTCATTGATACCGTTCTATAAACTATTTGTTAAACTAATTGTTGCGTGATCAGCGATATTAGGGTTGGTTTCATTTATTGTTTTTTATATGGATACAATCATACATCAGAAAAGTGAGAAATTTAGACTAGTATAGACCGGTTGACCGTTAGGACGAGTCGATCCAAAATCCAGACCGGTACCTATTTCATCTATGATCGTTCTACTTTGAAAAACTGCCGATATCCTTGAGACGGATTTCTATAGAATCTGTAGAGATCGAATTGGAGTAAGATGCGAGAAGCCATAATTAGAATTGGAAGAAATTACAAAAAAAAAGTTAAATAAGACTGATGGATTGATATCAGTTGGTATAACATAATGGAAACAAACCTTTTTCGGAACGTTCTGTTATTGAATCCATTGAATGAAATGTAAAATTTGCTGGTAAAGATAATTGTTTTGTTAATGGAAAATAACTAATATTATTATCATTTAGAAACTAAAATTTAAAAAAAACGAGAAATTTAAGAGAAAAAAAAAAGAAGAATTGATAATAAAAATACATGAAACTCTTTATCATCAATTAATGGTTGTTCAAGATAATCTCGATCCTGTGCATCAGCTTCTAATTGTCGTTCAATTTCTTCATCAATTTCTGTATCATCAGACATCATTTGATTCGATTCCTAATTAAAATAAGATATTTAATTTAAAAAAAAGAGACTTTTTTAAAAAAAAACTTACATCAAGTTTTTTCATTAAAACAGCAACAACAACATTAACAAGAACAAATTGTGCCATAAGAACAAAAATAACAAAATAAATCGGTGCTAATGCTGTCATAAATTGATTTTTTCCTCCATGTGGTGAATCATCTTGACGTAATGCATCCTTTTATAAAATAAAATATCTTTTATTTTATAAAAAAAAAAACTAAAAATAAAAACAAACTTTCATAATTCCATTCCAATTATCACCAGTTGCAATACGAAATAATGTTAAAAAAGCCATACCAAAATCTTTAAAATGTGCATGTTTATCAAGTCCAGTACATGGACGTTCTTCACTACATTCTAATTTTCCAAATAATTCAACACCAAGTGCAGCAAATATAAAGAAAAGAAGAAAAAATAAAAGACCCTTTGAAGAAAAACAAAAAAGTTAATTTGTTTTTTATTATTAAAATAAATAATATTTATTTATTTACCAAGTTTCCAACTTGTGGAAGAGCTTGAATAACCGTATCTAATAAAGCTCGAATACCTTTTGCCATTTTTAATAATTTAAGTACTAAAATTAATCAATTCAAATTACAAATTTTATCGATCGATCGAAAAAAACCAATCTATTTCATTTTTCATTTAGATATCTTCACATTTTCGAACAGAAAAAAAATATTTGTTTTCAGGAATTTTCAACACATCAGAAATTCATTTCAATGAAAATTCTTTAATCATAGATTGATAAGAAGCTTATGAAAAATTTCAATAGATTGCATTATAAATATTTTATTGCAACTATCGATGATTTTTCTCTTAACTCAACTCAAGTTTTAGAAATTGTAGACCGAGCTTCGATCATTGTTAGAATATTTTTATAATTATCGAAAATAGTTCTACTGTTTGAGGGGATGATTTCTATAGAGTTCTAACTTCATTTATCCATAACAATGTTAAACACATAAAATAACTAACGAGAGAAGTATCCGAAGTGTTCTCTAGACTTCGAACTCATATTATGACCATTTTACTTGATTTTCAACTTCAGATAAGCCATTCATCGAACAACCGAACGATGCTATTTTGACCATAAAGAGATCTCATGGCTATTAGAATGTCCTAAAAATTTCAACCAAAAGAATACCATCGTTCGGTTTTTCCATGACTATCTTGCCTGAAATCGAAAATCCAGTGAAATGATCATAAGTCGGCTTCAACAGGCCATGGGTACGAATTCTTTTAGGCTTTGGCTATTGACATTGAGCTCGAATTGTGGGAACACTTCGGGTACTTTCCTCGTTAGTATAATATTCTGTTTAGTTGTGAAATATCTTTTACAATTTTGTTTGAATTGGTTATTTTGAAAATTTCTTATAAATGTTCTCGTTATGTAATTCTAATATCGAATCTATTCTTTTATCGAAAAACATGAACACCTAGAGAAAATCATATAAAATTTAAGATATTTAATCAGATAGAATTTGATATGAATAAAAACATTCGAAAAGATGAAATATTTTCTTGTTTATCTTTAATAGATAGTAGAATAAATATTTATCTAACGATGGAATCTCTCCACATCCTAAAAAGCTTTTCAGTTCAAATTTCATTCACAAGTAGAAGATGCATAAAACTAGAAAAGTCCTAAGATGATATGAACGCAAATTGCAATTTGACTGAAATATCAACTTTTTACTAGAATTTTTCTGTAGGATTACACTTTTCCATTTAAATCAAAGTTTCGAAATTTCACCTAAAACTTTACTAATATCGAGACCACAATCAGACTAGTTTGTCCACGAAGTTTCACAGTCTTTAGACAAATCATCTTCGAAATATGAGTTTTTCAAAATATCCGTGCCTAACACAAAATCTCTAAAAAAAGGGTCTTTACGTTAATATACTCATATTTCGGAGTTGATTTGTTCAAAGATTCTGGAACATTGTGGGCGAACTAGTCTGATTAAGGCCTCGATGTGGACAAAGTTTCAGGGCAACATTCGAAACTTTGATTTTAGCAGAAAAAAGAGCTCTTACACGAAAATTCTACTCAAAAATTTATATCTCAGCCAAAATGCAACTTGTGTCTATATCATCTTAAGACTTTTCTAGTTTATACATCTCCTACTTGTGGATGAAATTTGAACTGAAAAGGTTTTTAGTAGTTCGGAAGGTTTTCTGATAAGATAAAAAAATGTCGATAAGTTAGTTAACTAGTTATATGAATATTTAATAGGGTAAAATCTAAATAAAATGATTTAAATAACCTCGTGCAATTCTTAGAACTCTCATAACACGTATAAGAGTTGGATTAATAGGAAGTATATGTCCACTATTGATTTTTTCTAAAAAAATTCCAGCAATTGATAAAATAACAATTGTTATATCAAGTTGATTCCATCTTAAATAAATAAAATATATTAAAAAAAAAAAAAAAATTATTTGAAATAAAATACTTGTCTTTAAAATAACGTAATGGTCCAAGAGCAATAATTTTTGATATTGATTCAATTATAAAAACAGTTGTAAATACATAATTACAATAATCAAGAGCTAAATCAAATGCCTATTAAATATAATAAAATAAAACAAAAATCTAATATAGAAAAAAAAAACAAACAAACTACCGGTGGCATTAAATAAAATTCTAATGACATAGTAACAACATTAAGACCAATAACAGCAGCAATAATTAAATCAAAATATTTACTATTACAAATATTATGTAAACGTCTTCTCCATGGTGAAAAATGTGCATAATATGGTATTTGACGCATACGACGTCGTTTACGTTCAATTTTTTTTGCACGTTTTGCTGTACGTCGAGCTTTTTCTTCACGTTCTTGTTCAGCACGACATTTATGAAAATTTTCAATAACAACACCAACAAACATATTTAATACAAAAAAACCAACAAGTAATAAAAATGCTATGAAATAAATTAATTTAGCTTCATTATAATTTCTTATTGGTTGCATATTAACATCAACAGCATCTATACCATTATACATTATTTGAACCCAACCATCTCGAGATGATAATACAAATAATGTTAATAATGCCTTATTTATATATATATAAAACATTTTTTCTTTTTGAAAAAAATATTTATTTAAATACATACTTGACCTAAATTATCAAAATTATATTGTTGATTTTTCCAATGATGATCAGACAACTCCTCACATTGTTGTTTCGTTGTTACATCACGAGCTAATCGACCTTCACAATAATAAAATTTACCTTTGAAAAGCTAGTCAAACAAAAAAAAACAAACAAACATCGATTTCAATTCGAAAAATTCTTAACAAAGAACAAAACACATAAGAGAATTTATTCTTTTAAGTAGTTTTTATCATTCAATAAGAAAATGAAACTATTCAATTGAATATATAAATCTCTTATTTAATTAGGTATACCGAAGATCAATTATTAAATAATAGATAATATACAAATCTTAATGTATCAATGAAAACTACCGAAAAAAATCTTCAACATCTATAAGTAGAGCTCAAAGCCGATAAGTTGAACAACTATCGTTGGAATATAAAAATCGATTGTAGCTTTTCAACATCCAGGATCAGTTTTCCGGGATGTTATTATCGAATTTCTGCCATTGTTCATTTGGGAATTTTATGAAACTAAGAAAATTTTTTAAAAAAACTATGGAAAAATCTCAGCTATCGCTGTCAAATCTTTGTGTATGTTTAGACACCGACGGCAATATGAGGATAAAACTTCAAATAGATTCAGCCGACGTCGGCAATCAAGTGATCAGTTTATATATCTATCTCCAAGATACTTTTTCTCTATGATAAAACTGGAAAATATTTCATCAATTTGTCTGATGATAAAGTAAGTCATCCATCCGTCGGATATAAAACGTAACTAAAGATATAAAATACCCGAATAAAGTGCATCTATATTCATATCTTTTTCTACTTTTGATTATAGGTTAAAGTCTATCCTTCGTTTAATATCAAATGAATTTTCAATAAAAAAAAATGATATCGACAAGACTATATTAGAATTGACTGAATATGAAATAGTGATTTATGTTAACTCCTTACGGAAAGGCAAAATTGCTCTCATGTTGATTTATTGAAAATAATGCCAAAATTCACATAATCATATTGATAGATAAAATCGATTTTTAGATTTCTAAAAAAATATCTTTTCTATTCGTGTTTCTACCAAATCAATATACAGATTTTTTGATTTGACAATAGTTAAAGCAAATATCGAACTGAAGAATGATATATATATATATAATCTCTCAGATTAGTTCTCTTACATTTCCCTATAAAATACTTTCTCATACTCATATAAATAAAAATTTCATTTTCTATTTTTCAATAATAATTAATTCAATTTTTTTCTTTTATAGTGTAGCTCGAACTGATAGTGATGTATAACAATCTATATATATTATGTTCAATGTGTGTCTGTCTGTGCCGGGTCAAAGGTTAAAGGTCAAATAAGGCTATAAGGAGGAGGATCCCAAAAGCATTATATGGGGTACCCTTAGGCCGTCAAAGGCTATTATATCGGGGACCCATCGCTTCTCAAAGGCTACCCTATGGACATACCTAGAGGTCCTCAAAGGCCGTCCTATGAGGATATCCTATAGTCTTTCAAGGACTATTATATAAGGATACCCATAGGTCCTGAAGAGAGTAAGGCAATAAGAGGATAATGCTACAAGAGCTACAAGGGGATATAAGATTATAAGGCCGAAAGCTAATGAAGTATAAAAATATGAGGTCGTAGGGTATCTATATGTACAATGTGGAGTGTCTATACAGGTGTTACTGCGTGAAAGGGTTAAAGTTTTGAGGTGATACGTTAAAAGAAAAAACAGGTGTGCAGTATGCACGGTCTGACGGTAGTAGTTAATAATAATAATAAATACCTGAACACCAAGAATACCAAATATAATAAAAAAAGTACAACATATAACAACAATATGTCCAATAGGTCTTAATGATGAAAGTAATGTTTGTACAACAAGTTTAAGACCAGGTGCTCGACTAATAACTAAAAATATAAATATATAATTATATCTTAAATAAAAACTTCTATGAATTTTCGTTTTAAACCTCTCAATGGTCTTAATGTTCTTAATAAACGAAAAACTCTTAACATGCTAAAAATACGTGTTGCTGCATCTGATTCAAAATGATTTGATGTTAATGATCCTCGATGCATTGTAGCGAGATCAATAATTGATATAATAACAAGAAAACCATCCATAACATTCCATCCACTACGTAAATAACTATGTTTTCCATATATAAATCCACTTGCAATAACTTTTATCATCATTTCAATTGTAAATATTATTGTAAAAATAATATTTGTTATATTTAAAAATTGTCGTTCCTAAAACCAACGTGTATTTTTGTTTTTGTTTAACGAAAAAAAAAAGTTATAACATACAGCACTTGTTGGTGGAATCGACGGACGTTCCATTGCAAGTGTTATACAATTAAGAGCAATTATAAATAATATTAAATAATCAAAAGATTTTTTTAAAATTAAATATTTCAATGCTTTACGAATTCTAAAATATTGAGAAGAAGATGAATTTTGTTTTTTCGATTAATAATCAATTTTATTTTACCGATTTTCTGGTGAAAATATATAAAGTGAATAATTTTCTCGTTTTTCAAAATATTTATAGAATCCTTTTCCACATAAACAATTTAAACACAAACGATTCGTCTTAAAAAACAAAAAA